AAAACACATCATGAGTGGGTTGAGGATATCATGTTATACGGGGCGTTAGAGGGATGGCCCAGGTATAACTAGGCCTTACGCTCACACCCACGCGCCTATCGAATATCAGAGTGTCTGATTGACATATGGGCACACGAGTTCCCACATAAGCAGTCACACACACACAGTCACACATGTCATTGCAGAGTGAGACGATGCACCATGCACACGCATACACAGCAAGCAACACAACCACCACAACCACCACCACAACGACAACATCCCTCTCCCCATCTCCATCCCCCAAAATGCACGGTCACATGGCCAGACACACAACTGTGGTGGTGATGGTGGCCATGATGAACGCCTTCCTCTCACTTCCCCTCAACCCCTTTCACCAAACACACACACACCATTGCGTGCCCTCACCTCGTGCATCGTGTTGCTGTCGGCGTGGTTGATGGCGACGCACACGCATGCACGCACGCACACACGGCCGTGTGTGTTCCCAGTTGAGATGAGCAACGGAGGGAGAGAAATGGGCGACACGACACGATGGCCAGTCAACCCCAGCCAATCCAATCCAGCATCAACCGCCGTGTGTTGCCTGCTGCAGTCATCATCACAACCACACAATCACAGGTACAAGCAAAAGGAATGAGCCACTGATGTGTGTGTCATTGTCATGTGATTTTACCACCACACGATTTCACGTGCATGTGCACGCGCACCGCCATCCCCCAACCAACATCATCGCCCTCCACCATCACTTCCCTTCCTCCTCCCTCCTTTCGCTCTGCACTCCCACGTCGCCCAATCACCACCATCACCGTGTCACTTCCCCTCCTCCCCTGCTTCCCACCACTCGACACAACACGGCCCACCAACCAACCAACCAACCATCAACGGTCATCCTCACCTGTGCTTGATGCAGCCAGCCAGCCAGCCAACGTGCCACAGCGAAGCCAAACAAAAAGGAACCGCAATCATGCCACGGCCAACATCGTCATCGCTGATGGAGCAGAAAGAGGAGATGAAGGGGGAAGGTGGGCACGGGCCGTGTCCTTCCTTGTCTTCATCGGTGCAGCCCCAAACACGGCGCACAGCGCACACGCACGCGCACGGCCATCATCACAGCAGCACCATCAGCAGCGGCGAGCTAGCCTGCCTGCCTGCCTGTGAGGCAAGAAGAAACCAACCAGAGACGAACAAAAATGACCGGTGATGGTGAGGACAGGAAAGGTGGGACACAAGGGGCCACGCATGGGAATATGCAGCATGTTGTGGGCGGGTGCATCACCTACACACAAGAACAACGAAGCAAGCACCCAACAAGCAAGCACCCAACAAGCAAGCAAGCAGGCACAACATCCACCATATCCACCACTGCTGAAATACCTGTGTTGGCCGCTGTCTCGATCACGCCTCAACAACTCCACATCACATGGGGAAGGCTGATGATGATGATGACACGGAGCAAAGGCGATTGGTTGGGAAAAGAAGAAGGAAATTTCGGTTGGGGAAACCCGCACAACGTCCGCCTGCAGTCACGCACATGCACACATTGAGTTGTGGGATTGGTTCATGTGAGACACACGTCAGTGCAACCACCCCACAGCCAATGACTGCTCTGGTGTGTTGGCATGCATGTGTACGTGCGTGCGTGTGAATGTGTACTACCACCCCATCCACACACACACACACACACACACACACACACACACACACACACACACACACAGCGGCAGCGTCTCACCTTGTGTCTTCTTTTCTCGCACGGTTGTGTGTGTGCGTGTATCGCCCTGCTCATGTCATGAGGGCTTGGGAAGAGATCGGCCACCGTCCTGTGCAAATCACACACATGTACACATGCGCAAGCACAAAGAACCAAATCAGCAAGAATGACACCACGCAGTGAGCCAGTATGGCAGAAACAAACCACATCCACCTCCTTTGTTACATTCACATCACCCACATCACCACCTGTGCACGCACATTTCACATCCCCACACACAGACACCATGACCACCGCCACAAGCAGCACATCTGCACATGCGTGTGCGTGCGCAAGTCCACATCCACCACAAACCACTCACCACCAGCAGCAGCGTCTTCATGCGAGGCAACAGCACATCGACGCACATCACACCCTGTACGTGTGCGTGTGAAGAAAGAGGTGAGTTGTCACAGAATCAGGCTGTCAACGACAACAAACCCCATTGCCACCACCAACAGACCCAACGACATCCAACCAGCGCTTCATAATCACACACATATACATGCTGTTGTTCACACCCAACACATCACACATCACCACCACAACCCCACCCATTCATCTCACCTCCACATCCATGGCTGCAGCCGCTGCTGTTGGTGACCAATGACGACGAAGACGAGGACGAGGAGGAGATGGACGAGAGGCAGAGGGCCAGTTCATCCAATGCAGCAAGCCATCATCTGTTGCTGTTGTTGTTGCTGGTGGTGGAAACGGTGAAAACAAACGGCCCCTTGCCATGCCGTGTCCTTTGCTCGCTCGCTCGGCTGCTTGCTTGGTCGGTTGGATGGAGACGATGCATGGGCCTGTGTCCAAATGAATCAAAAAAAGGGGGAACAAAAGACACATGAGTGGACAGAGCGGACAAGGAAAGTGGGAGGCGAAGAAGGAAACACAACATGTCAACCATACACACACTCACACATCTCAGTCGCCCTTCTCACCTCCATCACTCGTCATCGCCATCATCGTTGGTTCCAACCGCTTCATGCGCCTCCTCAACGCTGTGAAACGTGTGTGCACAGACACAAGATGGGAGAGAATTCAGGGGGGGGGCGTGAGGTTGACAGCGAAGCATCATCAACCACACGCCAGCCCCATCCAACCACCCGCATTGACACACAACCACACGCACACATGTTGTCCCCATACACCACCACCAGCATGCACACACACACACATTGCTTACCTCTTCATCAGAGCGAGTGACATGTGCAAGGTCTGCCTCACGCCAGATTGGGGCTGGTGTCGGCCGGAGTGTGATGGCGGCTGTGCGGTCGATGGCGGTGATGACAGAGGAGCTGAGGTGGAAGAGCGAGAAAGGAGAAAGAAATGGGGAAGGTTGATGTTGGTGACGATATGTCGTTCATGGCGGCTTCCTTCCCCTCCTCTGATGTGGCCCTGGTGCCCATGCAACCATCACACGACAACAAGACACAACGATATCATCACACACAAGGCACGGGTATGGCATGTGAGCACAGCAGACGCGTTCACCTTCCTGCCCCTCCTCTGTTTTCCTCCTCACTCCATGACACACACACACACACCTGCACATGACTGCGTTGCTGTGGTTGAATGTGCCCACCATGACCATGGACGTGTGTGTCCACAGCTGCTCCTCCCGATCCATCATGTGTGCACCGCCCATCATCCTCCAACGATCCTCAGGCAGTCGCTCCCTGCAGCCACAAGCACACACACACACATGACATGTGAGCTGCACAGCTACACTGGGGTACGAGGCACAGCAGCAGCAACAACAAGCACCCACAGCAGCAACACCAACACATGCACCATACGCCAACCAACGCAGCCATGATGGGCTCACCTTGCTCACATGTGGGAACACTGCATGAGCACAGCAACGGCAGCCGAATCGGGGGAGTTGCAGCAGCAGCAGCCGGCATGCGAGCCCGCTTCCATCAGTACCATCCTGATGTGTGCTGGTACCTCACCACCTGTGCATATGTGCGTGTGTGCGTGCGTGGTTGCAAGGAATGTGGATGGGAACAGAACACAATAGGCAGACAGCAGGCCATCACGTCAGCACAGCAGAACGAGTGATTGACATCACACGCACCACGTGTGATCGTGTGTGCGTGTGCGTGTGTGCGTGTCGGTGTGTGACCACCATCCCCCATCAACCCTCTTCCCGCGTTCACTTCAGCGCACCCCAGCACCGCCACCCCGCTTCATCACACAACCAACCAACCACCCATCACCACCCACATACCATGTGTGAGGCGAGTGCACTTGGCACGCGTGGCAAGTATCCTCGACATTTCCCTCATCCTGCTTGTGCGTGCGCATCGCCTGTAAGTGTGTTTGTGTGCAAGCACCAGCATGGTGAGTGGGAGGGAAGAGAAAGCATGGATATGTGCGCAGCTACACCGCTGCTGCTGGTACTGCTGGTGTTGTGCATGCATATGTGTGTGAAGAAGAAAGGGAAGAGAGAGAAAACAGAAAACAGAAGGGAAGGAACAAGACTTGCTGCACCCCATCCTTCCCACCATCCCTCTGCCTCACACCACACACCACCATCCTCTGTCACCAGCCAGCCAGCCACACCCCACCACACTCACCCAGCATCCCCCACCCCACCTCACCTCATCCCATCCATCCATCCAACACACATGTCCTCTCCCTTTCCCCTCTTCTTCTCGCCCTCACCACTGCTGCTTCCAGCCGAAAATGCAACTTGTGCTGTCGCTACCTGTTCCCAGCAGCAAACAAACAGCCAGCTTCCGCCAGCAGCAGCGGGCGATGGGTTGGTTGGGGGATGTGTTCAGCAGCAAGTGATGCTGGTGGTCACGTCCACCTCCTCCTGCACATCTCTGCTGCATCGGCGGTGGAGGGTGTGTTGGCTGCTGCTGCTGTTGTTGTTGTTGTGATGGCCGTCAGGGAGGGCGAGAAAGAGAGGGGAATATGAGCAGCGGCTGCAAGGTGGAGAATGTGCAGGTGTGCAAGCAGTTGTGTGTGTGAGAACGACGAATGAGACAGGCATCACGCAAGGCAAAACAGGCAGCCGCACGACACACATGCACACATTGATGTGGGACAACAAGGGGAGACAGGAGCAACAGAGACAGCGACCACAAAACACGCACACTGGTGCTGTGCTCATCACACACACACGCACATGCAGTGACGCACTCACGTTGCTCATGGCTTGCTTGTTTGTGGTGTGTGTTGGTGTTGCAGCTTCCACGGCCGCATAAGTGTGGCTGGATGGTCATTACATGGCAGCGCCCGTCTGTTCATCCCACCAGAGCAGTGGTGATTGGTGCAGGAGGGGGTGGGGGTGACATCTGCTGGTTCAAGGCCCTCTGTGGGGCTGCAGCAACAGCAGAAAGAAGGAGAAACAAGTGTGGAAGGTGGTGTTGGTGTTGAGGGTGGGAAGGGAAGAATGTGAGCAAACTCACACGAGAAAATGAGGAGGTGGCGATGATGGCGTGTGGGAGGGTGGAGAAGAGAACATGCACGTCGACACACCCACTGACACACACACACACACACACACACACACACACACCTGTCTGGGTGATGCAGTGGTTTGATTACCTGTCATCCGTCAGCATGTAGTCATTTGTTGGTTGGTTGGTGGGGGTCGCCCACTGGCTCACGCATCAGCCAGCACCTGTTGCTGCTGCTGCTGCTGCTGAAGATGATGATGGAATGCATCCATCTACACGCACCACACACAAACAAGCAAGCAACAACAACAACAGCAGTGAGCAGCGTGTCACAGACAGAAGGAGTAGAGACAGGAAGACAGGAGGAGGAGGATGAGCAGAAACACAACCCCGTGCACACACACACACACACATACATTGGCTGTGATGGTGGTTGATGCCATTCCCCCCTCTCTCTCTCATGTGTGTGCTGCTCACTGGTTGAGAGGTTGCATGCTCCATTCTCAGGGTCGCCGCTGCATGATGGTGGCTGATGGCAGTTCTTCTGTCACCACACAACGGTGAGCAAGTGTGTGTGTGTGTGTGTGTGTGTGTGTGTGTGTGTGTGTGTGTGTGTGTGTGTGTGTGTGTGTGTGTGTGTGGCTGTGTGTGCACGATGACAGCGTGCGCTGTGTTGTTGTTGTTGATGGTGGTGGTGGTGGTGGTTGCTGTGCGCAGTGTGCAAGGGGAAGAAGGGGAAGAGGAGGAGCACGAAGTGGGAGGAAGAAGTGGGAGCACTCCATCTCACCCTCACCTGTCGATGGATGGGTCATTCATGTGGTCGTTGGTTGGTTGGTTGGTTGGTTGTGAGTGGTTCATCACGGGAGAAGGAAATGGACAACGATGGATGGAAGGGAGAGAGGATGAAAGGGAGAAAGGGAGGAGAAGGGGAGAGAGACGGTGCGCACACCCTCCCTGCACATGTGTGCGTGTGCGTGCGTGTGTTTGAATGCGTCAGCGAGAAGGACGACGAAGGGAAGGAACGGAAGGAAGGAAGGAAGGAAGGAAGAGAAGGAACGTGGCACGCACAACCACCAATGTGTGTGTGTGTGCACGAACCAATGACACATCCTCACCTCCCCCCACCTCACCTCACCTCACCTCACCTCACCTCATCTCACCTGCTTGTCAGCAGCAGCGACGACGACCATGATCACCATCACCATTCCCACCACCATCACCATCACACACAGAGCTGCTGCGCAGAAGAAGAAGAATGAAGCAACGGTGAGTGGATTGGTTGGTTGGTTGGTTGGAAAGCAGAATCGGTTGTTTGCTCGTTTCTGCTTGCTGCTGGTGGGTTTTTGGTGTGTGTGGGATTTTCCTCTTCTTCTTGCTTGCTTGCTGGCTCTGCGTTGATAAATTGCTTGTCCTCGGTTTCTGTCGGCAACGTTCATACCAACGGGATCACGCCCGCTCTCGTCCGATCGCGGAAGCTAAGCCCGTTTGGGCCCGTTCAGTACTGCCGTGGGTGACCAGGCGGGAATCACGGGTGATGTTGCTCTCCTTTTTTTTTCTCTCTCTTCATATGGGTGGGGTGCTGTTGTGGCTGCTGCGCTGGCTGCTGGTGCTTGCTGTCTCTCCTTCACTTCCCTCTTCTCCCTTCTCTTGTTGCTTGGCTTGGTTCGGTGTACTTCTTGTTCTTCTTCTTCTTTGCTTGCTGAGCTGACTTGCTTGCTTCGACTTGGGGTGAAGAGGTGGTGGCCTGTGTTGGCTCATCTCCTCTCTCTCTTGTTGCTTGTCTGTAGCGTTCCTTTGCTACACACACACACACACACACACACACACACACACACACACACTGCCTGGCTGACATCGTGTCATCTCAACGCGTTTACTTCCATGCACAGACGCAGAGGTAACCACACACAAAGGTAGGCTGAACTATTGAACTCGTGACAAAGCTGATCTTGGTTACGCTGTTAGACATCTTCGTCCTCTCCTCCTCCTCCACCTCATCATCATCGTCACACGCAAACACATCACATGGGTGCATTGTCCTTGGCCGCCTTTCGTCGGTGGGCGGGGGGTGTTGCACCATACAGACTCCTGCATCACATCGTGTGGCGTCTCATTGGGCGTGTCGTACGCCAGCCCTTCCACTTGCATCTTCCCCCTGCGAGCATTTGCGTGTGTGTGTGCGCATGAAGGTGTTGGTGATGGCAGCGAGGTGTTGTGAGGTGACCGCGCTGATTCGCACCTCTGCGCACGATCCCCTGCACACACACACACACACACACATGCACACACACACACACACACACACACACACACACACACACACACACACACACACACACACGCACGCAGACATACCTGCCACGCGTTGTCGCCGCAGAACAGGTTGATCCTGGCAGACTCCAGTGCTGACAGCAGCAAATAGCACAGTCATGACACACGAGTGGGCAACGGACACGAGAACAAGTGAGCAACGCACACACCACACCACGAACGTCGCCACACTCACTCCAGAACTCCCTGTCCCAATGACTCACTCCCTCACCTGTGTGCACTTGGGTGGAGAGGGACTTGAAGAACTCCTCAAACATAAACACAACGCGTCTCTGCATCATCTCCACCACCTTATCAGGGATTGACCGCAGGATCCTCAGAAGCTGAACACAGTTGTGTGTGTGTGTGTGTGTGTGTGTGTGTGTGTGTGTGTGTGTGTGTGTGTGTGTGTGTGTGTGTGTGTGTGTGTGTGTGTGCGTGTGTGTGTGTGTGTGACATGTAAGCCTTCACCAAACACAATCCTCATCGAAAAGCACACCAGCCCCCACGCATCGCTTCACATGCCCATGTCACCGATCTATCACCACACCTCGAGGAGCCTGTGTTCGGGGAATGCGGGTGCTGAACGTTTCCCAGTCCAGCAGGCCCTGGTAGGGCTGCAAGCGCGCAAAAAGCAAACACCAGAACATCACGTCACAGCACCATGAGCGAGGGAGGGGTACATCTCCACACACACACACACACACACACACACACACACACACACACACACACACACACACACACACACACACACACACACACACACACACACACACACACACACACACACGAAGCGTCATTCATCTACACGCACCAGCACGTAGTGATCGACGACAATGACGGGGATGGCACCCGCAGCCACGATCTATGAGGCATGAAAGGGGATGACAGGAGATGGAAGGTGGGTGAGACCACAAACAGGGCCGAAATCATCTGCAACACACACACACACACACACACACACACACACACACACACACACACACACACACACACACACCAGGAGTGGTAGCCAAATCCTTCCACGATGAGCCCAAACTTGGTCTCCAGCGCCAGATCCGTGTACGTGTGCTTGTTGAACTCTTCCTCTGCCTGCTTACACGAGGGGTCATATCCAACCTTCCCCTCACGGCCCATGCGCTCTTTGCCAAACCACCGGCACGCGCACACCAACACAATGTCCCTGCGCATACACAAGCAAACACAAGCGATGTGTGTGTGTATGTGTGTGTGTGTGAGGTGGATCCAGACAGACACGCACACAGCACCAAAACCAGCTGACTCCACCACAACACACACACACACACACACACACACACACACAAAACACATCGCACGCGCAGCACACCACACCTGCTGTTGTGCAGCTTGGAGAGGTGGTTGCGCATGGCATCAAGAGCGAGCAGATTTGGTGCCCCTGCACAACAGGGAAAGAAGACACATGTCAAGCAGCGGCACCACGACAGGTTTGGAGTTAGGTTGCAGTGGCCACAAGAAGGGAGAATGGTGGTGCAGTGAGCTACACCAACCCCTCAAAACCCAGCAGCAGCAGCAGCAGCAGTGAACATCGAACCCCACATCGCACCACGTCACACCACACATGCATGCACACACCTGAAGGTGACGAGGTGTTTGCTGTTTGTGCGGGTGGAACGCGTCGCTGTTCTGGTGTGAATGAATGAATGTCACCATGGAGAAGAGTGGCATGGACACATCGAGGCGGTCACGGTGGTGGAATTCACTGAGGTGGTGTGATGAGATGGAACACACAGGATTGGTAAAGCGTGTAAGCATCAGCAGTCGCACACATGGTGCGTGCCAACCCCATGTGCACTTCTCTTCCAACACATACACACACACACACACATACCCTGTGTCAGCACCGTGGATTGACGAGGAGGAGGTGATGGACGAGCCAGGGCATGCGACACAGCAAGCCGTTGCCAGCCAACACACCCACCACCATACCACATCTGGAACGGACAGCATGGTTGTGTCCACTGCACTTGCGGCTGAATCAACGATGAGGATGGATGGCGAGTTGCATGGAATGCCGTGGCAGGAAAAAGGTCATTGTCCGCAGCCACGCCGCTGATCCACTTGCATCCGCCGTGTCGCAGCCCACCAAGCGTGGTGGTGTTCGCTGTATTCGTGCTGCGATCAGTGGTCACACCCGTAGAGGAGGGTGTTGTGAGCCAGCACGCACGCCGCCTGCAGTGCCCACATGGCTCAACCGGCTCACAGACTGTTGATGGTGGTTGTGTCATCCACTGCCGCTGTCACCGCTGTCACTGCTGCTGCTGTTGTTGATTGGCTGCTGATGAGCACAGAGGTGGTGGGAGTTGTATCAAAGGGAGGGATGCCGTAGCTGAGGCCGTTGCTGGCGACGACGCCACCAATCCCCAATCGCTGTTGCTGGTGCCCTGCCGAGTGCATCTTGGATGCTGTTGCCAGACGGTGGGCTGACTGACAGTGTTTGTGACTTGTGTCACACATGTATGCAACGGGCCATGAAGGAGACTTGGCTGTGGTTGTTCACTGCCTGCCTGCTGGCTGGTTTGCCGTGCACTTGTCATGCTTTTGTCCCAGTCGCAAGCAGCACAGCAGTTGCTACCCTCTTCCCTTTCGTTCCTCCACGCAGAGCACTGCTCCTTGTCAAGCCGTTTGCCCTGCGCGTGCATGCCTGTGCGTGTCTGTGCGTGTCTGTGCATGTCTGTGTCTGTGCGTGTGCGTCTGCCTTCCATCAACAGCAGTGAACCCCTTTCAACAACAAAGAAGAAAGTGCTGACTCGGCACAATTCTGTTTGTGTTTGTGTTTTGTGGGGAAGAAGACAAGAAGGAAGATGCGTGCAACGGCAGTGACAGCGCTGCTGTGGTTGGTGGCAGTGTGCTGTGTGGTTGGTGGCTGTAGGGCTGTGTGCTGTGTGTGCTGTTCAGCCGCTGTGGCGAGCGTCGTCGTCTCAAGCTCAAGCCCAATGCACCAAGATCAAGGTGTGTGTGTGTGTGTGTGTGTGTGTGTGTGTGTGTGTGTGTGTGTGTGTGTGTGTGTGTGTGTGTGTGTGTGTGTAACTACTTGCGTGCGCATCCCCTCGTCCCATCGCTGCTCTCACCTACCAACACCTCTTCCCCCCCCCCCACACACACACTCGCACACACCGCGCTGACAATTGGACGTTTGCGTTTGCTGGCAAACATGGCGCAGACATCCATGATGACGCGTGGGGGGTGTGCCACGCTCTGCTACACCTTCAAATTTTTCGCTCAGCGCTGTTGAATATGGATACAAATGCTTCTTCTGCGAACACCCAAACTAAATTCCCCCGCGCACTCTCCGCGGTGTGTGTGTGTGTGTGTGTCTGTGGGTGCGTGTG